CCCATTAGCCAGACTCATCAAGAAAAAAAGGAAGAAGACTCAAATCAGTAGAATTAGAAATGAAAAAGGAGAAGTAACAACTGACACTGCAGAAATACAAGGGATCATGAGAGATTACTACAAGCAACTATATGCCAATAAAATGGACAACCTGGAAGAAATGGACAAATTCTTAGAAAAGCACAACCTTCCAAGGCTGAACCAGGAAGAAACAGAAAATATAAACAGACCAATCACAAGCAATGAAATTGCAACTGTGATTAAAAGTCTTCTGACAAACAAAAGCCCAGGACCAGATGGCTTCACACACGAATTCTATGAAACATTTAGAGAAGAGCTAACACCTATCCTTCTCAAACTCTTCCAAAATATAGCAGAGGGAGGAACACTCCCAAACTCATTCTACAAAGCCACCATCACCCTGATAACAAAACCAGACAGAGATGTCACAAAGAAAGAAAACTGCAGGCCAATATCACTGATAAACACAGATGCAAAAATCCTCAACAAAATACTAGCAAACAGAATCCAGCAGCACATTAAAAGGATCATATACCATGATTAAGTGGGGTTTATCCCTGGATTGCAAGGATTCTTCAATATATGCAAATCAGTCAATGTGATACACCATACTAACAAACTGAAGGATAAAAACCATATGATCATCTCAGTAGATGCAGAAAAAGCTTTCAACAAAATTCAACACCCATTTATGATAAAAACCATGCAGAAAGTAGGCACAGAGGGAACTTACCTCAACATAATAAAGGCCATATATGACAAACCAACAGCCAACACTGTGCTGGGAACTTACTCAACATAATAAAGGCCATATATGACAAACCAACAGCCAACACTGTGCTCAATGGTGAAAAACTGAAACCATTTCCACTAAGATCGAGAACAAGACAAGGTTGACCACTCTCACCATTATTCAACATAGTTTTGGAAGTTTTAGCCACAGTAATCAGAGAAGAAAAAGAAATAAAGGGAATCCAATCGGAAAAGAAGAAATAAAGCTGTCACTCTTTGCAGATGACATGACACTATACACAGAGAATCCTAAAGACTCTTCCAGAAAAATACTAGAGCTAATCAATGAATTTGGTAAAGTAGCAGGATACAAAATTAATGCACAGAAATCTCTTGAATTCCTATACACTAATGATGAAAAATCTGAAAGGGAAATTTAGGAGACACTCCCATTTACCAATGCAAGAAAAAGAATAAAATACCTAGGAATAAACCTACCTAAGGAGACAAAACACCTGTATGCAGAAAACTATAAGACACCAATGAAAGAAATTAAAGATGATACCAACAGATGGAGAGATATACCATGTTCTTGGATTGGGAGTATTAACATTGTGAAAATGACTATACTACCCAAACCAATCTACAGATTCAATGCAATCCCTATCAAACTACCACTGGCATTTTTCACAGAACTAGAACAAAATATTTCACCATTTGTATGGAAACACAAAGGACCCCGAATAGGCAAAGCAATCTTGAGAAAGAAAAATGGAGCTGGAGGAATCAGGCTTCCTGACTTCAGACTACACTACAAAGCTACAGTAAGCAAGACAGTATGGTACTGGCCAAAAAAACAGAAATATAGATCAGTGGAACAGGATAGAAAGCCCCGAGATAAACCCGCGCACCCATGGTCACCTTATCTTTGATAAAAGAGGCAAGAATACACAAAGGGGAAAAGACAGCCTCTTCAGTAAGTGGTGCTGGGAAAACTGGACAGGTACATGTAAAAGAATGAAATTAGAACACTCCCTAACAGCATACACAAAAATAAACTCAAAATGGATTACAGACCTATTGTAAGGCCAGATACTATCAAACTCTTAGAGGAAAACATAGGCAGAACACTCTATGACATAAATCACAGAAAGGTCCTTTGGACCCACCTCCTAGAGAAAGGGAAATAAAAACAAAAATCAACAAATGGGATGTAATCAAACTTAAAAGCTTTTGCACAACAAAGGAAACCATAAACAAGATGAAAAGACAACCCTCAGAATGGGAGAAAATATTTGCAAACCAAGCAACTGACAAAGGATTAATCTCTAAAATATATAAACAGCTCATGCAGTTCAATATCAAAAAACCAAACAACCCAATCCAAAAATGGGCAGAAGACCTAAACAGACATTTCTCCAAAGAAGATACAGATTGCCAACAAACACACGAAAGAATGCTCAACATCACTAATCATTAGAGAAATGCAAATCAAAACTACAATGAGGTATCACCTCACACCAGTCAGAATGGCCATCATCAAAAAATCTAGAAACAGTAAATGCTGGAGAGGGTGTGGAGAAAAGGGAACCCTCTTGCACTGTTGGTGGGAATGTAAATTGATACAGCCACTATGGAGAACAGTATGGCGGTTCCTTCAAAAACTAAAGATAGAACTACCATACCACCCAGTAATCCCACTACTGGGCATATACCCTGAGAAAACCATAACTCCAAAGGAGTCATGCACCCCAATGTTCACTGAAGCACTATTTAGAACAGCCAGGACATGGAGCTACCTAAGCCATAAAGAAGATGTGGCACATATATACAATGGAATATTACTCAGCCATAAAAAGAAACGAAATTGAGTTATTTGTAGTGAGGTGGAGGTACTTGGTGTCTGTCATACAGAGTGAAGTAAGTCAGAAAGAGAAAAACAAATACCGTATGCTAACACATATATATCGAATCTAAGAAAAAAAATGGTCATGAAGAACCTAGGGGCAAGACAGAATAAAGACACAGACCTACTAGAGAATGGACTTGAGGATATGGGGAGGGGGAAGGGTAAGCTGGGACAAAGTGAGAGAGTGGCATGGACATATATACACTACCAAATGTAAAATAGATAGCTAGTGGGAAGCAGCCGCATAGCACAGGGAGATCAGCTCAGTGGTTTGCGACCACCTAGAGGGGTGGGATAGGGAGGGTGGGAGGGAGGGAGACTCAAGAGGGAAGAGATATGGGAACATATGTATATGTATAACTGATTCACTTTGTTATAAAGCAGAAACTAACACACCATTGTAAAGCAATTATACTCCAATAAAGATGTTAAAAAAATTGTGAGTCACTATATTGCACACCTGTAACATATAATATTATACAGTAACTATACATCAATAAAATTAAAACAAATAAAGATGGTACACAGACGGCAGAGAGAAAATAATCAGAGGGAGAAAGAAATAAAAAAAAGCAAGTAGCCATGTTGGGGAGGTCCACATGGTAAGGAGCTGAGGACAGCCTCCAACCAAAATCCAGGAAGAAACTGAGGTCCTCAATCCAACAACCCATCCGTAACTGAATGCTGCCAACACCATGTGAGCTTAGAAACAAATATTTTCCTAGTCAAGCCTCAGATGAAACTGCAGCCCCACTGACACCCTTGTGTCACCTTGGATACCCCCTTGTGAGTGTCCCTCACTCAAACTCAGCAGGCCACGCTCAAACTCCTGACCCACAGAACATGAGAGAGAATACATGTGTTGTTTCAAGCTTCTAAGTTTTTGGTAATAGTCATGTAGCAATAGATATCTAATATACACACAGCATCAACATATACCAAAAAAAGACACTAATCAGACTTCTCTGAAGAGATTAGTTTTCAAAATACAAATTTTCCCTCCAGATGAAATCATACTGGAAGCAAATGGTGTAAAACCAGTTAGTGCGTCAAATAGGAAACCTGTTTGTTAGCACTTCCAGATCATGTACTGAGGCCTACCACCCAGGAAACCATTAACCTGTTACTCTGAAAAAGAGAGCTCTGTCAAGAGGAGGTGAGATCAACAAATAAAGCAAGAAAGAAACAATGCTATTTTTCTTTCTGCATATAATTCTTAAGTTTCTTACACAGGACAGGAAAATAATAAATTAAAACTTTATATTGCTAGGGGGAGAAAACTATACCTCAACTTTTTAGTTCTTTTGGTTAATTTCCTGAAGTCTTCTAGGACTTCAGCCTGTGCCGAGTATATTTTCAAATTGAGGTAGTGTAAATCATTTTAAGATTCAGTTTCTAGTCCAAGTAAATATCCTGTGTCAATCTTGTAAATTAAGACAACACAAGAAAAAGGAAACAAAGAGCAAAATCACAAAACCTGCTGCTTCCAGAATCAGGATGTACTGAAAGCAGAATTAAAGCCAAGTTTTTTTCCTCCTGCTCGAGATATGTGATCAATCTCCTAGAACATGTATGTTTTCCCCGTGCATAAAGAACTCTTAGAAAAGTTCCATCACTATATAGATTTTCACATTTCTAATAACTCAAGCCCCTTCCCGTAAGCTATAAACCCAACTATTTTGAATAGCAAATGTTTAAAAATCAGGTATCAGATTTCCAGGATAGAAATCTGTGAATAGTAAGAAATAAAGGATTGTGTATCTGGATATAAGATATATACTTTAGAGAAATGATTTCTTGTGAATTTATTTTTTTCTGGGAACAATTTATATCACCCAGAGAGTTTCAATAGGCATTAGAAATTGGAGTGCAAGGAGGGAGAGGAATAATATATATGAGCAGGGCATATGGCTTCACTGCTCCTAGATATAATGTCACTATTCTGTGATGTAAAATGTTCATGTCCTTGGCTGTATTACATGAATCAATTGGGGCATTAAAATAAAGAAATAAATTATAACAAAAGGATGATCTCTCATAAAAATTGGATGGAATTATACCCTTAGGTATAATTAATATAAATATAAATAATATAAAGGGTTTTGTTTACGATTTCATTTATAGTATGCTTAACTGGAAATGCTAAAAATAGGAATGAATGCATGAATAACCTTGGTTTTTATACTTATTTCATTTATTCTCAGAAAAGAGAACTATGCATCTATCTACAAAGTTTTATATCTTATTTGACTTTACTTTGTAAAGAATTTAGGCAGAGCAACAAGCACTAACTCTTTTTTATTTCCTCCCTGCCATAAAATTACCCTCAGTTACTTACATCTCTATATCCATGCACCACATTCCCAGAAATATCTCCTGCTATGTCTCTACAACCAGCTGGGCAGAACTTGCTGGAAAAAAAATAAAGAGTTTATATTTTATTAGGTCATACTTAAACGGTGTGAAATTATACTTAAAAGTATTTTCTCTCCTCTATACAACATGCAGGAATATCTTTAACGACAAATCAGAAACCTGATTTGTGAAAACACAGACTTATCTAAAATGTTCATCTGAAGGCAAGTTTTACACAATTATTTGTTTTATATAAAAATTCATTATAAACTCTATTAAACAATGAGCTTCCCTAAAGTATCTTAAATGATTTTAAGAGGTCCAAGAAATGTTAAGTAAAAAGGTAAAGTTTCTAAATACAGTATATATAGCATAATCCTGTTTTTATAAAAAGAAATGTTTAAATAACAATTTATGTTTTCTATGGATAAAAAGAAAACAAGGAAGAATATCTCTGGATTCTCTCTGAGTGTAGGAGTTTGAGAAACTATCACTTTCTGTGTAACTAACTGTAAATTTGGATTCACTCTACTAGCATTACCCAATTGGAACATAATGAAAGCCATACATGTTAATTTAAATATTCTAGTAGCCACATTAAAAAAATAAAAAAAAAAACAGGCAAAATTAATATATTACTCATATATTTTGTTTAACCTAATATATTCAAAATGTGTCATTTCCACATGTAATGAACAGAAAAATTATCCAGATATTTCCAGTCTTTTTTTAAAAATAAGTCTTCAAAATCTGCAGTATATTTTATACTTACAGCACACCTCAATTTGAATTACTCAAGTTTAAATGCCTGGAGAGTGATGGTCTACATTAGTTATAAATTACTTTTGCAATCAGAAAAAAAGGTGTATATTTTTTTCAGCTTTACTGGGGTATAGTTGACAAACAAAATTGTAAAATATTTAAAGTGTACATCATGATGATTTGATATACGTATACACTCAAAGAATTCCTCCCATCTAGTTAGTTAAACACAACAATCACCTCATACACACACACACACACACACACACATACATATATATATATATTTTTTTGGTGAGAATATTTAAGTTCTAGTCTCTTAACAAATTTCAATTACACAATATGGTGTTATCAGCTATAGTCACCATGTTATACATTAGATCCTCAGACCTTATTCATCTCTATAGCTGAAAGTTTATACCCTTTTATCAACCTTTCCCTATTTCCCCTAACCTCCAGCCCCCAGTAACTACTTTCTGTTTCTGTGAGTTTGACTAAAAGAGGTATATTTAAAATTAGGATTTCATTTACTTAAGAGTCATTTTTCAAGAAACTTTTCAGAAACATGTCATGGCATATGGTATGGTTGGCTGTGGCTTAGGGCATGTTGACCCAGGCTCTGTTACTACCTAACTAGCTATGTGACCCCGAATATTGCATATAATCCCCCTTAAATTCAGTTTCCTCTTCTGTAGTTCCTTCAAGTATCAACATATCAATAGGCCATGAGAGACAACCATACATCTAAAATGACGTGCAAAAGGAAACTCAAAATATTATGTGAACACTGACAGCTTTAAAGGTGAATGCCATAGGCCCTTGTTTCTATATATACCATATTACAATAATGTTTGCTTGGTTTGTTCAAGAAAAATGTACCAGCCCAAGCAGATTCCAAAATAGCAGTTGCTTTTATTTCATTTCCTCTCAGTTTCCTCCTGCTGACTTAGCAAATTAGATGTGTAACAGAATCTAATTATCAAAACTACCCAAATAAATGGTTCATAATTCTTCCCCATTGACCTAGTGGAATCCAGCACTACAGCAATAATCAAGGAATTAAGAAAGAGAAATAATGGAAATCCTATTACAGGTTTACAGTTCCTTATCCTAGCCCTTAGAGCCAGATGTATTTCAGAATTCAGAATTTTGGGGTTTTAGAAAAAGTAAGACAGTGCCAATAATGTATATGATGTACGACTCCACTGAGGTCTGCAAATATTAATCAAAACATTAATATCTCTGTATCAAATATATGGATAGTCATATTAGGTCAAATACATAAAGACAAAATAGCCTCATTTTAATTTAGTCCAATTTTGCTGTCAGATGAATTTAAGGTCACATTAATCAGGTACTGCCACCAAATGAGTTACAAAGATCTTTTGACTTTTAAAGCTTTCTGCATTTCACAATTATGGATGAAGGATTATGGCCCTGTACTAGTCATCATACCTCATCTTTAACTAAACACTACAAATAGGCTGGGCTACAGCTTAGATCATCTGACACCATAACATCACACCGTAGGGCTGAATATATTCCTTTCTCTAAGAGGATAGGAAATGACTATTGATGCCCAGAGGCCCTGTCACCACTGGGACTGTACACGTATGGCTGGAAAGAAAATGCTGCTGAATGTCTGCATTGGATGAACAGCAACTTTAAGGGCAACATTTAATTACTGGTCATTTTCATTTTTGTCTTTTCTCAACTGGCCTTCATATTAGTAAACACTAGAGTTGATTCTGCATATAAAAGAATCTCATTTATTAGAGTATCAGATGGATAGGACCATGGACTCTTAAGCTTGACTTTTGGGGTATTCTTATTTATTGTGTAGCCCTAAGCAGGTTACTTAATTGCTTTGTGCCTCTGTTTTGGGGGTAAAACAGAACCCGCCTGGTCGGTGTACTGGAACATTCACATGAGCTATCTATATGCTAACTCCAGAGAGCTGTACCTGGTACTAAGAAAACACTCTAATGCGTTAGAGTTGTTCTTAGTGTTTTTGTGGACAATGACCTATAGACCAGTGGTTCTCAACTAGGGGTGATTTCTGCCCACCAGCAGACCTTTGGAAACGTCTGGAGACATTTATCATGACTGGCTCATATAGGCCAGGGATGCTGCTAAACACCCACAATGCACACAACAGCAAATCATCCAATCCAAAATATCAATAGTGCCAAGGCTGAGAAATCCCCCTCTAGACTTTTACTTTACAGATGAGAAAACATACATCTAAGAGATTAAGTCATTTTTCCAGTTAAAGTAAAGCTGGGATGAAAATTTTCATCTCCTATTCTCAGTAGGTCTCTTTTTTGTGGGAAAGACAAAATGAACCCCTCCAGAATTACAAAAGTCACTCCCAAATGCTAGCCCGGTAAAAAAAAAATGCACTCTAGACTCCATTTTGGCTCATTGGTACTAGAGTAGAACTCAAAGGTCAGCAAACTGTGACCCATGGGCCAAATCCAGCCAGCGCCTTTTTTTTTTTTTTGAAATAAAGAAAGTTTTTCTGGAACACAGCCATGCTCATTTGTTCACATATATACTGTCTATGGCTGCTTCTGCACTACAAAGGCAACAGAAACTGTATGAACAGATGCAAAAGAGACTGCACGGCCTGCAAAACCTAAAGTATTTATTTTCTGGACTTTGACAGAAAATTTGCTGATCTCTGCTGTATAAGAAACCATTTCAAATATTCCTAATTAGTTACAACATAGATGATTTTTTTAAATTAAATTAAGTTCAAGTAAGGTACTTTATCTGGTTTAATGTCAAGGAAAACAAAATATTCAGCAACAAATGACTGCAGCACAGCTAGGACACTGTATTTACCTGTATTCTGTCTTCAAATAATGGTTAGCTCGTTCCAAACACGTTATTAAATCTGTCATAAATAAAGATAATTGCAATCAGCTCTAAAGATTTCTTTTAAAATGAAACAGTTTTTGAAAAGTATTTATTCATTATCTAGTTATCTGAACTTTTCTGTTTAAAAATAAATAAAAACTGACACACTATCCCCAGGATTTCATCAGTTCCCTTCATTTTTCTTTTCTACCATCAATGATGGTTCTTCAGTATTTATCCAGTGAATGACAACAGAATCTATTTCCAACAAAAAAACCCAACACTGGTTAGTTACTATTCACTACATACCTACAAAAGGCCATGTGTATAAGCTCCCCTGGCAGGAGGAAAACAATTTCAAGAGCCCAATGTGGTTCAGAGCAGGTTCAGGAACATCTTAATTTAACAATTTAGCTAGTGGCAATCGAGCGACCACAGGGCCAGGAGTTTAGTGAGAACACAAAGAGCCTATCAGCTTTGATCAATGAGGACCAAGGACTTAAAAGAAGCATGCTCTCTGGAGCAATTTATAGAACTGAACTAATACTCAGCAATGGAAACTCTAAGATACTGTGGATTTTGGTGCTTTTAGATGGACCTAGTATAGTTTCCAAAATATTCCATACTTGCTGCAGAAGTTCTTTCTTTCCTTAATCATTTCAGTAGTTCTTAGGGAGAAACATATGCTGAACACCGGCCATGCAGGGGCCTGCTAGGATATTGCTCAGATCTGATTGGCTGAGTGAGAAATGAATGGGGTACCCCCTTCCCAGAGTATTTCTGCAGGAGGGACCTGACAGCAGAAACTCTGGGCACCTCTGTGGCCCTGGCAGACCCTGGGCTGCATGAAATTACTCTGGAGTTCGAGGCCTGGATGGGAGGCCACACTTTCCTTTCCCATCAATATTCCTGCTCCCCTTCTCTCCCACTCATGTGCTAGCTGGATGGGTAGGGCACTTGGTGACACTGACTTTCTCCTCCTCATACTCGCATGCTCCCATGCTGGTGCACTGGTGTGTATGGAGTGGGGGGGGGTGTCGCTGGTTAAAAGGCTTGACCCCTAAGCTAACAAAGGGGTTGGTGGAGAGCTCCAGAGAACAACAGCCAGACCTTAGGAGGGTCAGGAGGGTAGCCCCAAAGATACACAATCCATGATTTCTAGGAAAACGAGATCCACCCTCTCCCACATAAGTCAGCGGAACAGTCTAACACGGGCTATGAAAGTATTCAGTTCAGACCTAACTACTTACAAAGACACTGCATTCCTCTCTTCCCTCACATCTTAATTCTGGATCTGAGGTCACAGTTCTGTCCAGAGATGGTGACTAGCAAGAGGAATTCTAAGACAGATAAAGGTTTACAGATTTATGTTGGTCCTTCTGCTATACCTGGATGGTCGCTGCTGGCATAGGTTAGCAAAAAACCCCGCCCAGAAATGTGGGATCCACTCTCAAAGCGAACAGTTACTTCACTGGTGTTCAGCCAAAGTTCTTTGGGCACAGTCATGCTTCCACAATACGGACCTAAAAACAAAGCACACAAAGCACACTTGCAGCTCATTTCAAAATTTCAAAATTTAGACCAGCACAAAGAATTGGTATATACATTGTTTTCCCTTAAATGTCAAATTTACCAGACAACACATACACATAAGATTATAATCTTTACCCAACTGAAATTTTGCTGAGACTAAGAATTAGTCTCTGAATTAGTGACTGATTGTAAACTTGATTATACAGAGAAACAAGATGGGGGAAGTGGCCAATTCTAGATAAGAAATAGCTTGGAACTAGTTAATTGTGAACAACACAAGAGATAGGTTTCGATTTTTATAAGAAGGAGACTAACAAACAAAAATCAAATATATTTAGTTAAGAAAATGTTATCACAAAAGTGATATTCTAGGGACCTCCTAAATTTGCTTCAAGTATGGTCTAAATGCTTGTGTCCCAACCAAATTCATATGTTAAAATCCTAATGCCCAATGTGACAGTATTAGGAGGTGGGTCCTTTGGGAGGTACTTAGTTTCACAAGGGCAGAGCCCTCATGAATGGGATTAGTGCCTTTATAAAGGAGGCCCCAGTGAGCTTGCTTGCCCCTTCCAGCATGTGCAGACACAGGGAGATGGCTATGAACCAGGAAGGGGACTCTCACCAGCCACTACACCGTATCTGCCGGCACCATGATCTTGAACTTCCCAGCCTCCAGACTGTAAGAAATAAATGTCTGTTGTTCATAAGTTACCCGGTCTGTGATATTTTGTTATAGCAGACTGGAGAGACTAAGACAGGTAGTAAAGAAAATGTTATCACAAAAATGATATTCTCCTAAATTTGCTCAAAGAAACTCACAAGTTCCCTTTATCCAAGAAAGTTCCACTACTGTATAGCCCAGGGAACTATACTCAATATTTTGTAATAATCTATAAGGGAAAAGAATCTGAAAAAAAAAAATATATATATATGTATAACTAAACCACTTTGCCGTACACCTGAAACTAACACAACATTGTAAATCAACTATACTTCAATTTTTTTAAAAAGTGTAAAGAAAAAAAAAGTTCTAGAATTAAAAGACTGTCCAATACAGGGTAAAAATCTTATTCTCATGCAATTTGCACACTTCTCTTTCTCTTCTTTACCACTCTTAACAGCAACTTCTGGTTAACTCATATAATTTATTTTGATTTGTAAAATGAAGTTTATAAGAAAGCAGAATAACTTCTAAAGGCTTTTGAAATACCACAGTATAAATTATACAATTAAGAGTATAACATATTGTTTCTAAAATACGTTGCTTGAAAAGCAATAGGAAGCTCTATGAACTTTCAAAAGACAAAACTAGGGCTTCCCTGGTGGCGCAGTGGTTGAGAATCTGCCTGCCAATGCAGGGGACACGGGTTCGAGCCCTGGTCTGGGAGGATCCCACATGACGCGGAGCAACTAGGCCCGTGAGCCACAACTACTGAGCCTGCGCGTCTGGAGCCTGTGCTCCGCAACAAGAGAGGCCGCGACAGTGAGAGGCCCGCGCACCGCGATGAAGAGTGGCCCCCGCTCGCCACAACTAGAGAAAGCCCTCGCACAGAAACGAACACCCAACACAGCCAAAAATAAGTAATAAATAAATAATAAATAATTTTTTTTAAGAAAAGACAAAATTAGATTTGGAGCTTAAAAAAACAAAACCTTCCTAAGAATATTCAAGTTGAAGTTTAGTTTGTAAACTGTCATCTTGAAAGTCAAGTATGTAAGGCAGGATAATTTCTCTAAAAATAAGGGTTAGCAAGCCAGTTTTGAAGAGTGGTATTCTTCATCAACTTCTCCCAAAACAGAACAGTATAGAAAGAGTCAATGGAACAACAATGACAACATCAGGTTAAGGGAAGAAAAAGATCACTCCAAGTCAATGTGAGTACAACTAGTCACACCAGCCAAAGCCAACATAGGGACCAAACTGCTAAAAGATGCAGAAGATCGTGAACCCAACTCAGCCTTCCTTTTCTGATATAAGGGATCAAATTTCTCTTCTGTCCTGTCCAGGTGTCACGTTCTGAAGATGTGATAAAATGAGAGAAATGCTGTGTGTTTACATGCCCCAGATCTCAGTTGTTGCCTATTATTAAATTATAATGAAATCCAAATAAAAAGGATCATCTCTCTCTTTAGAAACACTCATCATATACAATTACTTACATGAGTTAATACCTTCAAATTATTTAGAATGGTACCTAGGATACAAAGTGTTAAGTACTCATTAAATAAATAAATACATACATTAAAACAAACAAACAAATAAATAATGCCTGTTTTCCTTTTAGACAATGTTCCATGGGGTTAGGGACTTTTCTATATCCGTCACTATCTCAAACACCTTGTACGTGTGACAGCTTTCCAAATATTGTTTGAATCAAAATGAAGTTAAATGTTTTTCTATTTGCAACAGCTGGTTTTTAAAAACCAAACATAATTATAAAGATACATAAAATATTTAATCCTGTCATTACAAACTAGCATGAAGAAGTAAGCAAGAAAAGTGTGGAAAAGCAAGAAAGGAAAAGAAAATCATTAGTGTGGTAGATATATGGATTTTGTGATCTTTAAGAGTGCTCACAAGCATGGAAGATAGGCAATTAATACTAAATCCATTTTTGTATAATAAAGTAGAATGATAAGCATTTTTGCAAAATTAAAGTGAGTCAGATTACTGTGCTTGACTTATGCAACTGATTCTGTTTGTTTTGAATAAGTTTCAAATTCATTTGTTCTTTGCACAGGTAAGTGAGCTACTTACTTTGCAAACTTAACAAAGATGAAATAACTAGTAACTTGTTGCTATTAATAAATCAGAATATTTTTCTAATCATATTTATTTCTTCCAAGAAGAAATAACAACATATATATACTGTTCTCCAAATCATGATGACGATACCATACCAATCTCTCCTTAAACTTCTATTTGCATTCCAATGAGTTCTAACAAAAACAGTGAGGAAAAGTCTAAATTGATAATCAGTGAGAACTTGTTTGAAATGTTTTTAGTTGAAATATATTTGACATATAACACTATAATGTAAGGTATACAACATGTTAATTTGATACATTTATATATTTTAATATGATTGTCATTGTAGGGATAATTAGCACCTCTATCACATTACATAATTATCATTTCTTCTTAGGGGTCGGAATAATTAATTTCTAGTCTCTTGTTTGATGATTATAATACAATATTTTTGTCTATATTCACTATACTGTACATTAAATCTCTAGGGCTTATTTGTTACTCGTTGCAAGTTTGTACCCTTAAACAACATGTGTCCTATTCTCCCACCCTCCATCCCCTCATGACCACCATTTCATTCTTTGTTTTTACCAACTTGTCTTTTTTAGATTCCATATGTAAGTGGAGATCATACAGTACTTGTCTTTCTCGGCCTAGCTTATCTCACTTGGCACAACGTGCTCAAGGTCCATCCATGTTGCTGCAAATGACAGGATGCTCTTCTTTCTCGTGGTTGAATAACTGGAATTTTTTTTAAAGATTTTTATGGAACAGTTGAAAGGAAAGTTTGCAAAATTATAAATATTTTACACAAATAGATAAGAATGTATGCCATTACACTAAGTTGTTGTACAATACATACAATTTCCTAGATCAAAACCACATAAATATAGTAAAACTCTAATTTGGTTGCATCCTCCCAAAGTCATGGTAGGCATGGTAGGTAAACATTTCTGGAAGAAGTTCAAAGAAAGAAAATGGGAACACACACACTTTACTCACCGTTACCCCACAGGCAGCATCCCTCTCACATTTTCATTGATGTGCTGCAAAAACGTAACTAAACCCTAGCAGGGACAGGGTATGCCCTGTGTATACAAATGCCATCATTAAAAGTTATTTGACAGGTTCATCAGGGCACAGCCATCACAACAGCAGGAGGCAGCTGTAGCCCAGGGTGGGGAACTGAAGCTGAGGGTTGGCTGCGGTATCACCTTTGGCAAAACACCCAAATTATTGCCTGTCTGAAGGTCTGACAGATAAAGATTCCTTTTCACAGATTAGAAGTTAATAACTGCATTCCTGGAATTAAAAGGGAAAAAGAGATGAAAATAGAAAAATGTGAGTGGCAGTGAGAGGGAAAAATAATTAATGGGAAACCATGAAAGGAGTCTGTCCTAAGCAATGCTCTCAGTTTTCAGCAGACTCCCTGGAGGATGATATCTTTTCTTATGAAAGCCTTTCACCACCCACACCTGCCCCAAAGATATATTTACGGTTAGTACTCTCTGTCCCAATTTTTCAAAAGGACCTACACCTGTATTTGAACATGCACAATGCCATTGGAAACCCAAATAAGAGCGCAGAGGTGACTTCTAGCTTTGACCATGGTTATATTTGCCATCCTGTGCAGTGTTCCTAGACTGGTAAGCCTGTTTCAATTCACAGTCAGACTGAACCCCAAACCTTCTTGAGTGGTTCTGAAGACCTCTAGCAGACCTAAAAGTAAGACTCACAGTCTGCATAGATGTTTGCTTCACAACTGGCAGTGCTGTGTTTCACAGAACTTGGACTTGCTGTCTAACAATGACCTTCCTCCTCACCTCTATCCTTGTCTGGGAAGCAGGTTCCATCTTTGTAGTCTCAAATTCCCACCAGACTGGGAGACAGCAGAAAGGCAGTTCATCAAGTAGGCAGAAAAATCAAAAAAATAAATCCTCTACCTTTTGTGGAATGCAGTGAGTCACCCTGGATTGTGGGAAAAGCCATCAATGACACCAAATGGAATAGCATGTGGCATTTGGCACCAGACATGAGACCAAGAGCTAGCAGACAATGGACTGATTCCTTGGACAAAAGGAATAAAGGGCCAGGAACCCTAGGAGCTGCCTGCTTTGAGCACAGTAGGCCAGTTCCTCTCAACACATCCCCTGTTCCATGAGCAGCTGAGAAGGGAAACCCTTTATCTTCCCACGTGTGAATAAAAGCAAACTGTCCTACAAGGAAGAATGAACTGCCTGC